AAGACCTCCAAGATCCCTTCCAACCCAGGGGTGCCATTCAGCAGGTTCTGAAAAACAGGTAGCGAAAATTTTGAGTAGTTCGGTGAACCGGCAAATACCACCTCTGGCTGGCCCCGAGAGTGGGGAGGGAATGGAGATTTTGCAGTATCCTTCCCCAGGAGTGGGGTGGGAATGGGGATTTTGCAGTATCCTTCCCCCAGGAGTGGGGTGGGAATGGGGATTTTGCAGTATCCTTCCCCCAGGAGTGGGTGGGAATGGGGATTTTGCAGTATCCTTTCCCCAAGAGTGGGGGGAAATGGGGATTTTGCAGTATCCTTCCCCCAGGAGTGGGGTGGGAATGGGGATTTTGCAGTATCCTTCCCCCAGGAGTGGGGTGGGAATGGGGATTTTGCAGTTCCCTTCCCCTGCTACGCCACACCCACCGAACCACGCCCTCAGAACCGGTATTTAAAAAAAAAATTGAATCCCACCACTGCTTTCCAACCCTATGATTCTAAGATTTTGCCCCATCTTTGGCTTCCATCGGCACGCATCGTTTCCTTTTCTCTTGTGTTTGTTCCTCATCGTTGCTCTTCATGCCTTTTTTTTTTCCTGGAATGGGAGAGAGAGAGAGAGAGAGAGAGAGAGAGAGAAGAGAGAGAGAGAGAGAGAGAGAGAGAGAGAGAAGAAAAATGTATTATTTTTCAGGGGGCTTCTCTCATTTATCCCCCTCCCTCCTTGCCCCTTCTCATTTACAGACCCCTCTTCATTAGCAGCAAATATAGATGACATCATCACCATTAAGGGGGGGGCAGGTCAGGTTTCAAAGTGGGGTGTGGTAGTGTGTGGGGGGGGACCAGATTGAAATTGGCGGCTTGTCAAACGCTCCTCCGCCAAAGGAATCTCACAGGTGACCAGGATAGTGGCTAGGGTGGAGGTGGGGCCCCCGTCCTTGAGTGACGGGTTGGTTGATCAAATGGATTTGGTCAAAAGGGGGAGTGGGCGGCTTTTAGCGACCCACCTTTCGAGCCCATCGTTTTAAGAGGTCGCCTCCGTTTCCCAAGAAACGGCACCGCTTTGTGTCTTTTACAGGACTGCGGAAGAGAAATGAGCATCGGGGGACCGGGGGGGGGGCAACCATCTGCAGGAGTTTCAGCTTTAAAAAAAAAAAAAAAATCCCGGGATTCGGCTGCCAATTTTATTTTATTTTGGATTTGATTTTTTTTTTCTTTTTCTTTTCAGTTTTGCCTGTCAGTTTTGAAACCAGGGACAGAGCGGTTAGCTCTCAGTTAGAGAAAGTTGCGCCTAAGGCCGTTTCCTGCGCTATATTACGGCGTTAATTCTGGATCAGAGTGTTCCACCTTAGGCTTCACGCTGCATGGAATATCTATCTTCCATATATATATATGGAAACCACATCAAAACAGGCAGGGAGTTTGGGGTCAGAGAGGTGCAGAGACACTTGTTTTCTCTACTACACTTTTACCAGAAAATTTCTAGCAGGGTTGTTTCATTGACCTGTTATAACACCTCACTCCACACAGCTAGCCCCCTCCCTCTCTCTCCCTCTCTCTCTTTCTCCTCTCTCTCTTTCTCTCTCTCCCCTCTCCCCCTCTCTCTTTCTCTCTCTCTCTCTCCCCTCTCTTTCTCTCCCTCCCTTTGCCTCTCTCTCTCTCTTTCTCTCCCTCCCTCCCTCTCTCTCCCCCTCTCTCTCCCCCTCTCTCTCTTTCTCTCCCTCCCTCTCTCTCTCCCTCCCTCTCCCTCCCCCTCTCTTTCTCCCCTCCTTCTCCCTCCCTCTCTCTCTCCCTCCCCCTCTCTCTTCTCTCTCTCTCTCCCTCCCTCTCCCTTCCCCCTCTCTTTCTCTCTCTCTCTCCCTCTCTCTCTTTCTCTCCCCTCCCTTTCCCTCTCTCTCCTCTCTTCCCTCTCTCTCTCTCCTCCCCCTCTCTTCCTCCCCCTCTTCTCTTCTCTTCCTCCCCCCTCCTCTCCCTCCTCTCTCTCTCTCTCTCCTCCCCTCTCTCTTTCCTCTCCCTCCCTCCCTCTCTCTCCCTCCCCCTCTCTCTTTCTCTCCCCCTCTCTCCTTTCTCTCCCTCTCCTTTCCCTCTCTCCCTCCTCTCCCTCTCCCTCCCTTTCTCTCTCCCTCCCTCCCTCTCTCTCCCCTCTTCTCTTCTCCCTCCCTCCCTCTCTCTCTCTCTTTCTCTCTCCCTCCCTCCCTCTCCCTTCCCTCCTCTCTCTTTCTCTCCCCTCTCTCCCTTTCTCTCCCTCTCTCTCTCTCTCTCTCCCCCTCCCTCTCTCTCTTCCCTCTCTCTCTTCTCTCCCTCCCTCCCCTCTCTCCTCCCCCTCCCTCTCTCACCTTTCCAACAGGAAGCAGGGTTTGTGAGCGAGCGTCACACCCCAGCGCAGGTGCGCCGGGTTGACCGGCTCTTGATCGATCCCTTAATTATTTTTTTTTTCTTTTCCACGCATTTGTCAAGCTCGCCTGCATCATTTAAAAGTTGTGCTTTTGCACCAAATGCTAATGAGGCAGCCATCCACGTCGGGGGGGGGCCCAAAAAGCGTGCTGACAACGCCATGGCGATCGCCGAGTCTTTTAATGGCAGAGTAGGAGTGTCATTAGGCAGTGATAAGGACATTTGAGGCCCTGGAGAGATGGGTTTTGGCGTGGCCACTCGAGCTTTTTTGCAGCTTTGTCCTTTTGTTGTTGTTGCTTTTGCTTTTTTTGGGGGGGGGGGATGAAGGGGGTAGTATCCAGGAAGTTGCCAGTCTCTTCAGCGCCTTTCCGCTGTTTTTTTTCGCTGTTTCTCCTCTTTCTATCAAAAGGAGAAACCAAGGTGGATGTTATCAGGAAGTCGGCTTATTTTACCGTATCTTAAAATTAGGTCGTGGTGGCTCAGTGGCTAAGAGGCTGAGCTTGTCAATCAAAAGGTCGGCAGTTCAGCGGTTCGAATCCCGAGTGCCGCGTAGCGGGGTGAGCTCCCGTGACTTGTCCCAGCTTCTGCCAACCTAGCAGTTCGAAAGCACGTAAAAAATGCAAGTAGAAAAACAGGGACCACCTTTGGTGGGGAGGTAACAGCGTTCCGGGCGCCTTTGGTGTTTAGTCCTGCCGGCCACATGACCACGGAAACGTCTTCGGACAGCGCTGGCTCTTCGGCTTTGAAACGGAGATGAGCACCGCCCCCTAGAGTCGGGAACGACCAGCACACGTGTGCCAGGGGAACTTTTACCTTTAAAGTTAGGTCTATCCCAACTTTTCTTCTTTTAGTTAAGTTGAACTAAAGTTTGCATAGTTTTTTTTTTTTTAAAAAGAAGCCCTGTTGTTAAGGGCTGGGATTTAGTTTCCCACACTCGACCAAACTGGGAGACCATTTCATTCAATCAGAACATAGCTGGAAAGGACCTTGGAGGTCTTCTAGTCCAGCCCCCTATACCATTTCAGACAAGTGGACTGTCCAGTCTCTTCTTAAAAACCTCCAGTGATGAAGCCCTGCATGATTTCTGGTGGCGAGCTGTTCCCCTGGTTAATTGTCCTCACTGTTAGGAAGTTTCTCCTTAATTCCAGGTTGCTTCTCTCCTTGGTTAGTTTCCTTCCATTGTTTCTTGTCTTGCCCTCCACTGCTTTGGAAAATAAAAGACAGATAAATCTGTCTTTTGTCTCCCTCCCTCTCTCTCTCTCTCTCTCTCTCATCTCTCTATCTCATCTCTCTATCATCTATATCACTTACCTATTATCTATCCATAACCTTTTAAATTGGGTTTTAAATGTTTTACATAAATTGGATGTTTTTAAATTTGTTTTTTGAGCCCAAATTATTTAATTTATTTTTAATAGCTTTTAACTTTTGTATGTTTTTTGTATTTTTATCTTGGCTGTTCACGCACTGAGTCCTCCGGGAGTAGGGCAGTATACAAATATGATAAAATCAATCAATCAATCAATCAATCAATCAATCAATCATCTCTATCTTTCTATTATCTATTCTGTATCTCTGTCTATTATCTATCAATCATTTCTCTATCTCTCTTATCTATTCTCTCTCCTGCCTGCCTGCCTGTCTCATCTCTCTCTCTCTCTCTCTCTCTCTCTCTTTCTCTCTCTTTCTATCTCTATCTCTATCCCTAGCTTTTATTATTTTTACAAACAACTTGAGGCAGCAAACATATCCAACACACCTTCCTTCCTTCTATTTTCCCCACACACAAAAACTCTGTTCAACATCCGTTTTGGCCCAGTTCTTCCATAAATTAGGTGTGAGGCCCAGATCAACTTTTCACAAAGATCCAGGCTCATCCCAAGCACCATTCGTAGCATCTCCTCGTCTCTTCTTGTAGCCTTCAAAGAAGCTTGGCTGGTTTCGTCTCAGATTGTTCTTTAAACGGACTGAGTGATTTATGGGTTGCAGGGTTCTGAGAAGTGATGTCCGCGCATTTTAAACGTTGTGGGGGAAAAGTACCGTAATACAAGCTTTCTACTATAGAACCATTGCTTCCTGATGCTTCTCCTACCATGGAGGCATGGCCATGGTGGGAGTGGCCTAGTCGGTTTCCTGCACCATGGTGGAAGGGGTTTTGCCCTCCCCGGGCTCCGGAGGTTTTCTTAGAGCCTCCGGGAAGGCGAAAACGGCCTCCCCAGGCTCCGGAGGCCCTCTGGAGGCTGGAAACGGGCCCGTTTCTGGCCTTCCCGAACTTCCAGTAGGCCCGTTTTTTGCCCTCCCCAAGCCTCCGCGCACGCCCTGCACTTACCTGCATCCAAAACGGGCCGCATGGGGACTCCTGTGAGGGGTGGGGACGGGTGAGCACGGGTGGGCGGGGCCAGCCTGGAGTGGGATTTGAGGGTTTGTCCGAACTGCCCAGAATCTTAGCTAGAGGTTCTCCCGAACGCCTGCGAACCCCCGCATCAGCCCACCCCTGCCTCCGTCCCCCTAGGAAGGAACCTTGGACCCGAACCAAACTCCCCACTTGCCCCCCAAGAAGCCCTTTGTGACTCCCGCAGATTTTTGGACCCCATGCTCGGCTTTCCGTTCCAGATACACGTCAGGCGATGTGAAGCTGTGGGACACGCGCACCTGGGACTATTCGGCCCCCGTCCTGGAACCGGAGCACGGCTCGCTGGAGCCTGGCCCCCGGCCACATGCCTCCTTTGTGAGAATAAACAGCTCCCTGGCTGCGTCGGCGTACGAGGATGGTAAGTTAACAGCGAGCCTGTCCTAATATTGTCTTTTAAAAGCTTTCTGGAAATGAAGCAGCTGTGCCCAGCTCTTTTTATTTCCCTCACCCCCTCTTCTTTCTTTTCTTTCTTTCTCTCTCTCTCTCTCTCTTTCTTTCTGAGAGCAGTTCTAATCCTCTCCATACACACACACACACGTGTGCCCTCACCCTTGCCTTTATGTGGGAAAGTTGGCCGATAACCTTCATTGCATTAGGAGGCCTTGGATCGCAGTGCCCATTAAAACTATGGCTTTAATTCCTCCCGGAGCTGCAGCTTTGGAGGCACGGGTGCCAGGCTGCAGCCTGGCCAAGCTTGTCATGAGCAAACAGCTTGTTTTGGGCCTGCCTGTTTTTTTGTTTTTTTTCCCCTCTCTCTCTTTTTTTCCTCGAGATGTAGGGAAGGAGGGCCGGTTAAGACAAAGAGCAAAGCAATACAGATACTGCACTAGAAAAATAAAAATAAAAATACTGCCCTAGAAAATTTAGCCCGTTTACTTCTTAGTTTTTATTATTATTATTATTATTACTACTATTAAATTTGTGGGCCGCCCATCTTATTGCAGGATAACTGGGCAGCTTCCAACATTAAAAAGATAAAACTGCCATATATCAGTGCTACAAAAATATAAAAAATACGATAGCTAAAAGAAGATCCCAGGTGATGCTGATTCTCAGTTTATTAAACAGAGAACATTCAATAAAATACTGCCCCCAAATACCAATGCTTGCATAGTAAAACCAAATTTCTCTCTTCCTTCCCTTCCCTTCCCTTCCCTTCCCTTCCTTTCCTTTCCTTTCCTTTCCTTTCCTTTCCTTTCTTTCCTTTCCTTTCCTTTCCTTTCCTTTCCTTTCCTTTCCTTTCCTTTCCCTTTCCTTTTTTCCTTTCCTTTCCTTCTCCTTTCCCCTTTCCCCTTTCCCTCCCTTCCTCTATTTCTTTCTTTTCCTTTCCTTTCCTTTCCTTTCCTTTCCTTTCCTTCCTTTCCTTTCCTTTCCTTTCCTTTCCTTTCCTTTCCTTTCCTTATTTCTTCCCTTTCCTCTTTCCTTTCCTTTCCTTTCCTTTTTCTTTTTCCTTTCCCTTCCCTTCCTCTATCCCTTCCCTTCCCCCTTCCCTCTTCCCTCCTCCTTCCCTTCCCTCCTCTTCCTCTTCCCCTCCCATGGCTGGGGAATTCTGGGAGTTGAAGTCCACACATCTTAAAGTTGTCAAGGTTGAGAAACATTGATCTAGAAGAATACGTATCTGATGCGATAGGCACAATTTTCTAAGTGGGCTATTCTAATCCCCAAATACCCCATTCAAAGTCTTAAATGGGCTACCCTGAATCTACTGTCAGCTGATCGGACTTGAAACAGATCTGTTAAGGATTCGAATGCTTGCAGTAAGGAAAAAAAAAATGTCAATAAGAACCTTACTGGTTTTTTTCAATGCCTCTGCTTGGCCTCTTCTGCTTCCGTTGAACGGAAGACAGGTGTTCCAGATGTTGTAATGCGACACCTCTAGCAGATAAGTGGACGGGGCACATCTCATCACTGGGACGCATCGGGTCTCATTTATTTAATTTAACGCAATGTAATTTCCTTCTTGATTTGCAGTCCCAGACCAATAAAGTCATTAAATTAAGTCATTTTATTTATTTATGACTTCAATTTATATGGCCGCTTCGACTCGAAACCGACTCTTATCAGCATGCAATTAAAAACCAATAAAAGCAAATAAAAGCGGACAAAACAAACAGAAAGAAAAACCCTCATCTCACAGGGTAATGTCCTGGCTTTTCTAACTGCCGTATTTTTCGGACTATTTTTCAGACGCACTTTTTTGTCTCCTAAAAGGGAGTGAAAATATTTGTGCTTCTTATATACAGAATGTGGCTGAAGCCCCACATTCTGTACCACCCACTGGCTATTTTTTGGGCTCTGCACACTCCGTTTTCGGGCCCTTTTTCAGCCTGTTTTTGGGCTTTTTTTCGGCCCGTTTTTGAGGCTTTTTTCAGCCCATTTTTGAGGCTTTTTTCAGCTTATTTTCGAACCTTTTTTTCGGCCCATTTTTTTCCAAAAAAGAGGCCCCCAAAAAAACCCTTTAAAAAGGGCTGGAAAAAGCCTCGAAAATGGCCTGAAAAAAGCCTCAGAAAACGGGCAGAAAAAAGTCTGGAAAAGAGCCGGAAAAGGGCCAAAAATGGGGCGTGGGGAGTCCAAAAACTCTTGTTGTTGTTGTTGTTTTCCTCTTTTAAATTTAGGTGCGTCTTATAGTCTGAAAAACACGGTAGCTACCCATTCAGCAAATCAATCTTTATTTCCATCCCTCCCATTAGCAATCTCAATCTGGTAATATTCTCAGAACCAAACACACCCCTCCTGCCCCATCACCTCAGATTGGTGAAAAAGTCATTTTCCTGAGGACAAAATGACAAAACTGAACATCTACGGCACGTAGATGGAAGTTTTGAAGCCCAGTCTGTTCGGAACGCACCAATTTGCGGAATAGCTTGTCTTAAGTGGACCAAAAGGCATCTTTGGGAATTTTTTTAAAAAAAAATTCCACAGGAGATTATCTTTTTGCAGATGATAATGACGAGGAGGAGATAAAGGAGGAGACTGCAGGAGGAGTTTCACACACCTACTTTCATGCCTAATTTGATTTTTTTTTAAAAAAAAAAAAACCCACTGCAAATCGAGCAACTCTCTGCTCAATTTCCACAACGTCGTCTGAAATTGAGCTTCGGGTCCTGCCGATGTTTGAGTCGGAGAGTTATACCATGTTTCTCCGAAAATACGACCTACTCAGAAAGTAAGCCCTAGCTTGATTTTTACACATGCGCCCAAGAGAAGCCCTACCCCTCCAAAAAATAAGCCCTAATTAAGACCCCACCCACTCCAGGGTGCACGGGTAAAAATTAAGCTAGGGTGGGGGTAGTGGTGGTGGTGGAGCTGCCCTCCTCCTTACCTTCGGACAGTTGCAGCCGGGCCTTGCCCACCTCGGTGCGTTTCTTCTGCAGCCGGTAAGACTTTCCTGAAAGCCTCTGTAGCCGATAACAGAGCTCCAGATCGATCCGGACCTCTCTTATCGGCCTTCTGGAAAGCCTCACTGGCCTTGCCGGATGAAGAAGCTCCTGAAGGCCTCTGATAATGAAAAAGAAGCCATACCCGAAATACTCCCCATACCCGAAAATAAGACCTGGCCAAAAAATAATAATAATAATAAGACGGGGTCTTATTTTCGGGGAAACATGGCAGTGGTGACATTCAAATTTTTTCCCCTACCGGGTTCTGTGGGCGTGGCTTGGTGAGGATGGGGGGTTCTGTGGCTGAGTGGGTGTGGCCAACTCAATGTCACACCCACGCCCACTCAGTCACATGACACCCCCCCCCCCACCAAACCACGTCCACAGAACCCGGTAGGAAAAAATTGTGCGTATGAGCCCGAGAAAGGGCTCATCGTGAATGCTGCGGGAGAGAGAAGCCAAACTTCTCTCCCTCCAGTCACAGCGGAGCTGCTGCAGCCTGTCCCTTTAAGGTAGTCCCCGGGAGGGAGGGGGCTGGGGGGACGGACCATAAAGAGAGCAGCAGCTCCGCTGTGAATGGAGGGACAAAAGTCTCACCCTATAGGGCCGGGCTGGGTGGGCGGGTTGAGCGGCTGGAAGGGGCCAACAAGCAGCCAGAAGGGGTAAGCGGCGGGTGGGCATGGGCGGGGCCAACCAGGGGCGGTTTTTACTGGTTCGGTAAAAATCGTCCCTACCGGTTCGCCTGAACCGGTTGAATTTCACCCCTGAAACATCAGGTATGTGGCCCGGAGTCACCCACTCTTACGTTACCCAAATTCCCTTTTTCTTGGAAAAGGAACCTGGGCTGTTTGAACGGACATCCCCTTCATATCTTCACGGCCTCAACTCACACAGGATCAGCCGCAAAGAAATCAAAAGATGGTGGCTGCAAAATTCTTGCGGCCAGCAAGGCCTCTTCCTCTCCGTCCTGCCCGTCTACCTTAACACACCTGGGGAGCCTTGGCCGCCGAATCCACAGTTGTGATGTTTTGAATTCCAACTGACCAGCTTTTTGCGTCTTCCGCCTTGTTTCCCATTGTCAGCACTGGCAGGCATCCAGTTTGATTCTTCTTCTTCTTTTCATTCTTTTTTTTTTTTTCCCCTACCACTAATTGCCTTCCACGTTTCGCCTTTACCCGAAATGAATCAAATCAAAAATGCTTTTCCTGGAGCATTAGAGAAAGCCAGGGAAGAGTTTCTGGTTAATGAGCAGATGCTGCTAATGCAGGAGCCGTCGGGTTGGGGGGGGGGCGTGCCAGGGCTCCATCTGCTCCGTGCTTGCCTGGGTCTGGCACGCAGCCACGGCCTTGGTGATGTGTGTGTATGTGGCGGGGGGGGAGAGACTGTTTGCTTTACAGCCCTCCCACCCTCACCCATTCTGCTTTGCACCGCGGAAAGTTTTGTGCCACAGGAGAGAAGGGCTGGACAAAATAAGCCTTCCCCCTCATTACTGCATTTGGGTGAACAAAGGCAGGATTCTAGATATCGGCGAGAAGTGGAGTAGAGGCACGGGTTCTTCGGGTCTCTCTGAGCTTGGTGGGTTTTTTTGCGGACGTTTCATTACCCAACTAGGTAATACCATCAGTGCTAGAAGGGAGTGGGATTTGCAGAGAGGAGGAAGGGGGACGAAGGTGGGGTCTTTGGTGCTCTCTGAGCTTGGTCTTTTTCTTTTTTTTGCTCACGTCCCGTTCCCTTCTCTTTTATGGGAGGGGCCAATCATCGCCAAGCTTTACTCCCAAGTTGACCCTGTTTTCTTAATTGTTCCTGCCTTCTGGCAGCTCTGCGCGTGCACACACTGGGAACAGGCTCCCGCTGTTCTTCTGCCTCGCTGATATCAGACTCCAGAGACTCCAGAGGCAGCAAAGAAGTACCAAATGGCCTTGGCCCCCTCTCTGCCTCCGACTCAGAGCCCTCGTCCGAGCCTTCCCCAGACTCCAGGACTGGCCCACGTTCCTCCCCAACCTCCTCGCTATCCGAATCTGCTGCTGGTTCTGCTGGCCGCTGGCGGGCCACAACACTAAGTAAAATTCAAAGTCGAATCTGAGGCCGTGGAAATAAGTTTAACATGCAGCTTTTTTTTTTTCCAAACCGCTTTGGGCTTCAAAAGTTGGTTTAGTGGCTCATGATGCTCTTTTCTTTTTTATTAAAAAAAAAGAGGACTTAATTTGCTCCCATGTCGGGTGGCTGCTGTTTCATAGGCATTCTTATTTTTTTAAAACCAGCTTAGTTGTTATTTACCTTTCAAACAATCAAGACAATTACCATTAGGTCTTGAAGTAAAATTGGAAAAACCCAACTCCAAGCGGCCTTACGACTCCTTTGGGGCAGTTTTATTCGGGCCTTTTTGCATGTTGATGGAAGTCTAATTGCAATTTTGGCAGCGCGCGCACAAAACGAGCCGGCTAATTGTTTAGGCAAATAGATTAATTTAAATATGCATTCCCTAATAAAACACACGCAACCCCCCCCCCCCAAAAATGGCTTCTACGATTGTGCTCGCTCCCCTGACGAGGCGCATAAATATTTAGAGGCAGCGCCATTAAATAGCTCCTGAGATTGCTGGCGCTATTTTGCCACGCGGAAGTGCTTCACGGGCAGGGAAATAATCTTTACCAAAGTGCACATAAATAATCCTCTAAATTTGCTGGGATGCCATCTCATTATCCTTTTTCTTGGCTTTGCTGTCTTTCAATGGAGGGAAGAAGCATTTGTAACCCAGCAGGGGTGCCAATTCAACACTCCCTGATGTGGCTTTAATCTAACTTACAAGGAACTCTTGACCTCTCTGTATTCAACCAGGCAGAGACTCTACGGCCCGACTGGTTAACCCATCCCTGAGTTTCACGTATGAACCCAGGCACTGGGTTCTGTCAACCTGAGTCATGTAGTTTGAGTTATTCAGTAAACCATGGATTTAAAAGCCCTGGCTTGGTACAGGTAGACCTCAACGTACAACCACCATTGAGTCCAAAACTTCTGTTGTTAAGTGAGACACTTGTTAAGTAACTTGACAGGGTTCCGATGGATGACCTAATTAAATCATGAGCCTCAAGCCAAGTTTCAAAAGAAATCCAGTTATTTATTAGGAGCTTCATGTCGGCACTTTCCCAAGAACAGCAAACTTTGACCCCACGTAATTTATGACCCAATCATGACCCTGTTCCCACCCTCCCCCCAGGTTGTGTCATCAATCACATTTGCCAATGGAGCAGTTTCGCGGGTTGTAGAGATCACTCCCCTCCGGCTGCTGTGGGTAACCCTGGGAGACAGCCTCGAGAGAGATATGTCTAGAATGTGCTTCTGTCTTCCATTCCACACGTTCCATTCCATTTGAAAATATTAGCAAATGAATAAGCTAACATTGGGAAATAATAACCAGCATTATATCATATAGAGGGGATGCGGTGGCTCAGTGGCTAAGACACTGAGCTTGTCGATCAAAAGGTCGGCAGTTCGGCGGTTCGAATCCCTAGTGCCGCATAACGGGGTGAGCTCCCGTGACTTGTCCCAGCTTCTGCCAACCTAGCAGTTCGAAAGCACGTAAAAAAAATGCAAGTAGAAAAATAGGGACCACCTTTGGTGGGAAGGAAACAGCGTTCCGTGCGCCTTTGGCATTGAGTCATGCCGGCCACATGACCATGGAGACGTCTTCGGACAGCGCTGGCTCTTCGGCTTTGAAACTGAGACGAGCACCGCCCCCTAGAGTTGGGAACGACTAGCACATATGTGCAAGGGGAACCTTTAACTTTTACCTTACATCATATAGTGAGAGAGAGGTTTATATCCCGTATTCTATTTTCACCGATTTTCTCCTTTTGGCATGCAGGGTCAGTTAAAGTGTGGAGCCTGCTGGTCGGTTCGGAGCCAATCCACCGGTACCAACACAACCAGAAGATTCAAGCCATGGCCCTTTCGACTGAGGGGGCCACCGTAGCGACTGCAGCCGGGTTTCAGGTCAAAGTGGAAAGCGCCAACGACAAAGGATACTGGGGAACCCTGGCTGAGTTTGAGGTTCAGAAATGGGTGAGTCTCTTTGTTAGCCCTTTAAACGTGTTGGATGACATCACCGTTGACCAATTAGTGAAGATCAATGCGCTGTGCATTGGACAACGGAGCAGGGACGCGGCTCAAAGTGAAAAAAGAAAGAAAGGGTCGATAGAAGAGAATATTTGCAACTCATTTTTCTTGCAGACATTTCCCCACCGAACTAGGTAACGTCATCAGTGCCGGAAAGGAGTGGTATTATGCCCTCTGTTGATGTATTAGTGGCTTGCCCTGTCAGTCTCGGTGGGAGCGTCCTTGATTAGGTTGTGGTTTCAAGTTAGCTTTTTGTATGATTTGATAGTGTTGGGGTATTGTTTACGGCTTGGTTGTTGGTCTGGTGCCGTGATGGCGAACGTGTGGCACGCGTGCCAGAGGTGGCACGCAGAGCCCTCTCTGTGGGCACACGTGCTGTCGCCAGCTGCTTTTCTGGTTTCCGCCGGAGTGCCTGAAAATGGCCAAAAACAGGGCTGTTTTTTGTGCTGTTTTTCATGCCGTTTTCAGGCTGTTTTTCAGGCCATTTTTCAGGCTGTTTCAAGGCCATTTTTCAGGCTGTTTCAAGGCCATTTTTCAGGCCGTTTAAAGGCCATTTTTCAGGCCGTTTTAAGGCCATTTTTCAGGCCGTTTTAAGGCCATTTTTGGGGCGTTTTCAGGCCATTTTTCAGGCCGTTTTAAGGCCATTTTTCAGGCTGTTTCAAGGCCATTTTTGGGGCGTTTTCAGGCCATTTTTCAGGCCGTTTAAAGGCCATTTTTCAGGCTGTTTTAAGGCCATTTTTCAGGCCATTTTCGGGCCATTTTTCAGGCCATTTTAAAGCCGGTTGTCAGATTGTTTTGGGGCCAAAAAAGGCCCAAAAAACGACCTGAAAACAGCCTGAAAAATGGCCAAAAAACAGGCATAAGTGGGAGGAGGTGGGTGATAGGAACGGTGAAAAGATTAATAGAAATAGTAATGCAGACTTAGTGAATAGTTTGACATTGTTATTTGACAGTGTTATTTGTGATGGCGTTCGAGAAAAAACTGTCCTTGTGTCTAGTTGTCTTGGTGTGCAGTGCTCTGTAGCTTCATTTTGAGGGTAGGAGTTGAAACTATTTATGTCCAGGATGCGAGGGGTCTGTAGACATTTTCCCGGCCCTCTTTTGGACTCGTGCAGTACACAGGTCCTCCATGGAAGGCAGGTTGGTAGCCATTGTTTTTTCTGCAGTTCTAATTCTCCTCTGAAGTCTGTGTCTGTCTTGTTGGGTTGCAGAACCAAACCAGACAGTTATGGAGGTGCAGATGATAGACTCAATAATTCCTCGGTAGAACTGGATCAGCGGCTCCTTGGGCAGTTTGAGCTTCCTGAGTTGGCGCAGAAAGAACATTCTTTGTTGAGCTTTTTTTGATGACCTTTTTGATATTAGGTGTCCTTTTTAGGTCTTGAGATATTTTATTTATTTATTTATTTATTATTTTATAAAATTTGTATGCCGCCCTATCTCCGATGACTCAGGGCAGCTCACAACGACAATTGACCAAGCGACTGTTAAAACCAACAAATATACATAAAAAATCAAAAAAGTATTTTAAAAATTAAAAAATACTACCCTAGAAATTTGAAGGTCTCTACTTCAATGTTTGGGGGAAGAAGCGGAAAGAAAAATGTTAATGGGGAAGGTTATTTGAGGCTCAACATTCTCTTCAATCCATTAACTCTTTGCAGGTCAGCTTGCTCTCTCTTATGCCCCAAACTTCGGGCTGCCCGGCTGCCGTAGTAGCAGCGGAGGACGCCATCTACTTCTTGAAAGAAGGACAGCCAGCTAAAGTCCTGCATTGTGTCTACGGCCAGCCTGTCACATCCCTGGACGTCTCGGCCAAGGAAGTGGCATTCGGAGTCAGAGGCTACGGCTGGCTGATTAACGAGACCAACAAGGTAATTCAGGTCTTTGATTCCATAAAAGGTTTGACCTTGGCTCCTTTATGTTCCATATGGATTGACTGAGGGCTATTAAGCAATGGAACAGCCTGAAGTTATGGGTCCCCCCATCATTGGAGGGTTTTGAGACTGGGCAGTCATTTGTCCAGAACGTTAGGAGAATTCCAGTACTGAGTAGTGGTTGGAGGAGGAGAAGTGAGGTACTAATACAACTCTATAAAGCCTTAGTAAGACCACACCTAGAGTCCTGCATCCAGTTTTGGTCATCACACTATTAAAAAGCTGTTGAGACGCTAGAAAGAGTGCAGAGAAGAGCAGCCAAGAGGATTAGGGAACTGGAGACTAAAACCTACGATGAACGGTTGCAGGAACTGGGCATGGCTAGTCTAGGGAAGAGAAGGACCAGGGGAGACAGGATAGCAGTCTTCCAATATTTGAGGGGCTGCCACAGAGAGGAAGAAGTCAAGCTATTCTCCAAAGCACCTGAAGGCCAGACAAGGAATAATGGATGGAAACTGATCGAGGAGAGCTTCAACCTGGAAATAAGGAGGAGTTTTCTGACAGTGAGAACAATCAACCCATGGAACAGAAGTTGCCTTCGAAAGTTGTGGGAGCTTCATCACTGGAAGCTTTCAAGAAGAGACTGGACTGCCATCTGCCAGAAATGGTGTAGGGTCTCCTGCTTGGGTGGGGGGTTGGACTAGATGACCTACAAGGTCCCTTCCAACTCTGTCAATCTATTAATGTCTAAAGTCCCTTCCAATTCCGTGTGATGAAATGGGGCGAAATCCACTTAACAAATGTCTCGTTTAGCAAACGGAAGTTTTTAGCTCAATCGCACTCTTAAGTCAAGGACCACCTGTAGACCGTAGTCCCGAAAAGGGAGGGTGGGGGAAAAAATCTTTTAGTTGTGCTCCCGAGTGTCTTGGACTGACCCCTGAGGTCATGATAATATCGGTTGGGGGGTTTGGGGAGGGAGAGCCTGACATCTCTCCAGACTGCCTGTCCTAAGGCTCGTGGGCTTTTGTGTTCCTCGTTAGCTACTCAGCTCATCACAAATGGATGCCAATCACAGCCCCTGTCAAATCAGCATTGTACTGTACTCTGGAAGAGATTTCATCTCGTCCGCCGTAGCCTCCAGCAATTCATTTCTTTTCCTCAACTTCTCCCTTCCTAAGCAGGTCTAATAAATAATTGGAGCCTGGGTCTATGCAACTCTTTCAGCAGGGCCTTCAAAATAACTTGGGCTATATCATTATTTACTTTTTAATGCAAATTTTCCGTCCCCATCCTCGTAGACTGCGGGCAGCTTACGTAGACCGAAATAACAAACGATAAGAAGAAGAGGAAGAGCAGGATGGAAAAATTATTCGGCACGGGTGTTCACAGCCTTCGTAGAGTATTGTTTCCGAATCTATACTCTCTTAGAGCGTATTTTACACACCGATGTGCAAAGTTAGAGGAAAATCGATGCTAAGGTGCATGCGTGTTAAGGAACGTGACCTAAAAACGTGCGTGTTAGTTAGGACGAAGGTGCACTAATGTGTCTTAACAATGCATTAAAGCAGGGGTGAAATGCTCCCGGTTCGGACCAGATCGCCCGATCCGGTAGCAATGGAGGCGAGTGGTTCGGAGAACCGGTAGCAAAAATCCCTGCCCCCCCCCATGCCCAGCTGAGCCACGCGATCATCAGAGGCTTTTTTTCTTTTAAATGCCTCTGACGATCCAAGCTGAGTTGCCTGATCGACAGAGGCTTTTTTTCTTTTAAAAGCCTCTGACGATCCAGGGTGACTTGCCTGATCGTCAGAGGCATTTAAAAGAAAAAAAGCCTCTGCCGATCAGGCAACTCAGCTTGGATCGTCAGAGGCTTTTAAAAGAAAAAAAAAACCTCTGCCAATCAGGCAACTCAGCTGGGATCGTCAGAGGCTTTTAAAAGAAAAAAAAAACCTCTGCCGATCAGGCAATTCAGCTTGGATCGTCAGAGGCTTTTAAAAGAAAAAAAGCCTCTGCCGATCAGGCAACTCAGCTTGGATCGTCAGAGCCTTTTGAAAGCATTTTTTTACAACCTCTTCGCCAAAAAATTTTAAAAAATTGGCCACGCCTACCCAGTCACATTACCCCCCAAGCCACGCCCACAGAACCGGTGGTAACAAATTTTAGATTTCACCACTGCATTAAAGGTACATTAAAATGTGTGCCGTGCAATAAAGGTGCATTAAAACGCACGTGGATTTTTATCAGTATGCTGAATTGGCAAACTGGAGCAGGGCAAGCTTGCAGCCGAGAAAAATTAACCCCGCTGAATTAAATTGAATTGGACAGCTTCCCGATCTATAAGTTTTATTAGGTGCAGGATTCAGCTCCCTTCATATCTTTGCTTTTCTTTTAAACACCATCCTTCCAGGCGGTTAAAAGTTTACGAGCACCGCCTGCCCGACGTTTTAAAACACAGAAGCGAACTGAATCAATACGGATGTTTGCTTGTTTATTTCCATAACCTCCTAACTGGCATTATCAAGGCAGGCCAATAAAACAGGCAGCCTCAGTTTAAAAGTTGCGCCCGAGAAGTTTCGCCTAAACAGGTGAACACAGAAAATCCTTCTTGCAGAACTAACTGCCAAAATTAGACAAATACACCCATCGTCCTTGACGTTCAGGGACTGAAATTACGACGGCACTGGAAAAAGTGACCCGTGACCATTTTTCAGTCTTACGACCGCTGCAACATCCCCACGATCACGTTATCAAAATTCAGACGCTGGGCAACTGACTCGTATTTGTGACGGTTGCAGTGTCCCGGGGTCATGTGATCTCCTTTTGCGACCTCCTGACGAGCAAAATCAGCGGGGAAGCCAGACTCATGTAACAACCGTGTTACAAGGGCTGCAGTGATTCACTTAACAACGGCGGCAAGGAAGGTCGTAAAACGGGGCAAAATTCACAGTCTCACTTAGCCACAGAAATGTTGGGCCCAACTCATCGGCTTTTAATGACCCCCCTAATCCCTTGAGGGGGTGGAGTCTGGGCAACTGAACGGAGCTGAGTGTTTACTGGCCAGATGCCCTTCCTGTCACCAATGCGGATTTTTTTTCCAGCAGATATATTCTCAGTGTGCCCCGAGAGAGAAATATCGGCCTCTATCTAGGATCAAACTCACAGCCTCCAGATTATGAGGCAAGAGCTCCACCGCTAGGCCACCGCACCACTCAAATTTTGGGCCCAAATGTGGTCGTAAATTGAGGACTACCTGTAACCGATTGCTGTTGCAACGGTACGGCGAGGCGGGAGATGATAAGGGATGCCAAGGGTTTAGGTATGAAAACGTCGTATTTCAGATTATTTATTGATGGGTTTATTAAAATGATTTATACGGCTGGCCATCTTGCAGGAGGGCTCACCCAGGGCTAAAAAAACTCAACACAAATTAATGTTAAAACACGTCATGACAACCGAGGACAACACAAGGCATCCATAAATCGCCATCAGTCTCACAGGTTCAATTAACCTCTCCACCACGTGCCCAGATAGGCTTCCGTATTTTTAAAGCTTTCTGAAATGCCAGCAGAGTCAGGGACCAATTGCATCTCCAGAGAATACAATCAAGAGGTGCCACATAATAAGGCTGTAATATCGCTAACAGTGTGTCTTATTATCCCAAGGGTTGTATATTAAAAGTTGAGCATGCAGCAATATGTTGGGTAAGGGGCACGAGAGCTCAGGGGTTAAAGACAGCTGAGCTTGTCAGCCGGAGAGTTGACAGCCCCGGTTCGAGACCCGAGTGCCACACGATGGGGTGAGTTCCCATTCCTTGCTCCAGCTCCTGCCTGCCTAGCAGTTCAAAAGCATGAAATTGTGAGTAGATCAGTAGGTACCACTTCGGTGGGAAGGTAACAGCATTTTATGTACCGTGGCGTGTAGCCATGTGGGTGACATGACCACGGAAGCATCTTCGGACCACGCTGTCTCCTTTGACTAAGAAACGGAGATGAGCAGCGCCCCCTAGAGTCAGACTTAACTGGACAGGAGAAACCTCTAGCTTTATGTAGGAATGTCTATGTCTGTGGCTTATCTTTTTTTTTTCCTCATCAAACTTGTGGTTTATAAATGGGGCTACAGGTACTCCTCGACTTACAACCGCAATAGAGCCCAAAATTTATGTTGCTAAGCGAGACATTTGTTAAGTGAGCTTTGCCCCATTTTACGACTTTTTCTGCCACATTTGTTAAGCGAATCTGATTTTCCCATTGATTTTTTTTTTTTTTAATTTTGATTTATATGCCGCCCTTCTCCGGAGACTCAGGGCGGCTTACAATGCGCTAAGCAATAGCCTTCATACTTTTGTATATTTATACAAAGTCAGCTTATTGCCCTCACAACTGGGTCCTCAATTTACCTACCATAGAAAGGATGGAAGGCTGAGTCAGCCTTGAGCCTTGGCGAGATTCGAACCTGCAGTAATTGCAGGCAGCTGGTCTTAATAACCAGCTTAATAACAGGGTGCCTTAAACCACTGCACTATCAAGGCTCTTTTGCGTGTCAGAAGGCGATCACATAACCCCAGGACACTATACAACAGTCATAAATGTGAGTCAGTTTCCCAAACATCCACATTTTGATCACGTGACCACGGGGAGGCTGCAACCGTCATAAGTGTGAAAAGCAGTCATAAAAATCACTTTTTTTTCCAGTGCTGTTGCGACTTATTTAAGAATCCAAGCCCCTTCCTTGGCAAGTAAGATTTGAGTCATCTCTCTGCCAGGTTTTCTCCTCGATTCTGTACCTGAGATCTTGGATGAATCTCCAGGTTCTAGCTCGGGGGTGTCAAACTCAAGCCCCGTGGGCTGGATATGCCCATGGGGTGCTTAGATCTGGCCCACGGTGCCTCTGCCGGCCAAAACGGGCCATGGGGAGCCTTGCGCAGTCCCACCACTACACCCTGTTTTGGCCAGCAGGGCGCTGCAGGAGGCTGTCCAGGCCAAAAATGGGGTGCACGGGGG